AAAAAACAAAAAACATGGAGCATGGGGGTGTGTCCTCTCAGATCATCCATGTGGCTTAGTTTTAAATATTCCTGACTGTAGAGAGGGAGATATGAGTCCTGTCCAAGGACATAACACCATGAGATTTTAGATCCTGAAAGCGAAACAACTTAAATTGGTGCGGCAACATACCCACTAGCACGTCGCCTTCTCTATGTCCCAAATTTATGTGGGAATTTTTATTTTCAAATCAGGGACGGGTTCCATGGCTCTGGATGTCGATGGAGGCTCTAAGAGGAACTAGCACAAGCAAGGGAGACGTGTAAGTTGTCTTGAATCATCCAATGATCCTTGAATTGACCCTTGATCTCAGATTCACTCCAAATTTAGGAGAATATAGGGACGCTGCAGTTTATCAGTTCATTCAAGTACAGCTTTGTCACTATCAGCAACGATATGAGGGCAAGGATTAATTCCCCGGTTTTGTAGCCTATAGAAAATTGAAAGTAATTTGGATTGTTTTCTGACAAATGTTCGGCGGGTTGGGAAGGGGGGAGCGGGAAGAGAGGAGAGAGTAGAGTCTCATTTATTTGATCATGGTCTTTCGCGGGCAATCACCTACTACTCTGCCCACCCTCCCCCCTCCTTCTTGTTGCTACGGAAAACTCTTTGACTTGTGAGTTTGGTGAGAAGGGATGTGTTTGTTATCACTAAAATTCACTGAAGCGATAAAATATATGTTATAAATATCCTCGTATGTATTCTTTTGAAGCAAATTACCATCGGAGAAAGCGATGAAGGGTTGGGGCAGCACCTAAATAGAGCTATTTCAATATATTGTACAATCTGAGACGTTTTTTTTTTTTTTTTCTTTTTAATTTAAAGTAAGTTAACGAGAGATTTTAAAAATATGTTCATTTTATTTCACGTCCTGGCAGGTGGTCCTATGGAGTTGTTCTTTGGGAGATAGTTACTCTCGGTAAGTACATGTACAGACAGTGAAGAGAAAATTGTTTGGTGAAGTAGAGTCCTAAATAACAAAGCAATCTATGGGCAATGTAGGTTAACTGACATACGGTGTTGAGTAAGTAAACGCTGAAGACGAACCAAGTGGCCCATCAGGCCGGTTTTCCCGGTTTATGTAGGGTGAATATACTAGAAGTATTCCTACTCCCCACCCCCTTCCCGGACGGGGATGGTAGTCCATCGCAGGGTTGCCCACGGCATGAAATTTGCCGGTACCCAGTTATACAGCTGGGTGGAGGGGGCACTGTAAGAGTAAAGGGTATTGCCCCAAGAACACAAAACAGTGTCCCTGGCCAGGACACGAACCCGGACCGTTCGATCCGGAGTCAAGCGCACTAACTATGAGGCTACCGCGCCTCGATACAGCGCAGAGTGGAGTACGATTGCTATAGGTATAAAAAAAAATTATTTCCGCCAAAACATTGCTTCTTGGGTTAATTTGGGCGCCTCGCCAATAGGTGAACTGCCGTACAAAGGAGTGACAGGCGTGGTGGAACTTCATGACCTGCTTCAAGAGGGTGCGAGATTGCCAAAACCACCACATTGTTCTGATGAGCTGTAAGTAATTTGAAAATGTTACCACGTGGAATTTGAGCCCTTTTTGCTATTTGGTATTCTAATCAAAATAAGGATCTACTATAGCTAAGGCACTATCATGCCAATTTTCTGACAAACATCAATGGAAACCAAAAACTAATAGTGTACTTTTTTTAAAAAATTACTACTAAATAAAGACATTGAATGGGTATCGTTGTGATCCACAGAAGAACAACGTTTTGAATAGACCTGCCCTGTGGCTTTCGCTAACACGAATTGAATAATGATTTTCTACTTTTTTAACAATTCATTTAATATCTTATTTTTGGTGTTCGAGGCGTAATTCGCTCATGAGTGAAGTCAACAACAACAACAAAAACAACAACAACTACAACGCATGCTTCATTACCCAATCATCCTCGGAGACCCAGGGGCAGTTAATCGGGGCGCGAGGAAAATAAATCGGCGCGACGAAAGATTTCACGAAAGTTTACAAAGACATGTGAAAAAGCCTCTGGGAATCGACTCTTACAAGACCATCTCCAAACGGCTCGGCGAATGCTGGCTCCTGATTGGGCAGAAAAAATCCTTTTACTATTCTGCCTAATCGGCGAACAGCAGCTTCTGAGGTACTTTGGTGTGTTCTAACACGGCCATTGTTGCATGATACTTTTCTGGATCGTACTTGCGAGGAAAGATTTTATTTTAATTTACTTCAGAGAGCCATAGAAATTCGGGAAATCATTTCAGTTGTTAGCAAGAAATATACTCCACGATTCACCGGGAAAATTTTCGTTTGGACCGATCAAAGGTATCGTAAAACAGTGTTTTGTTTATTCATATTGGCGTGTCGATTTTAGCGCGCTTTCTTTCATTTCTTCGGTTAATTGGAATTTTCCCGCACTACTCCATTTATTTTGGTATACAAACACCAAATCTTACCGAGGACTCGACAGAAAATTTCACCGTACTATGCAGTTGAAATTAATTGTCAATCGATTGTAGGCTGTGAGGCCAGTTCAGGATTTATCGATATAATACATGTTGACATTGCCTCTCCAATTGCTACCACCTGGGAATCACAAAAAAGAAAAATTATCGTTTTCTTTAGCACTGACAGGAAAATGTGTTTGTGTTTAACAAACGTTTATCACTGACATGAAAACAGACTATGGCCTCTTCAGGGGCAGCCAATGAGGCAATTTGTTAGCATTCATCTGAGGAAAAAAACAACAAATAAACACTTTTGTAAAGTATTATTTTCAGTTGCTGGCAGAATAATTTCTGTTCTGTACTCTCAGGGGGACTTCCGTTTCCAGCAAGATTCAAAAATCTCCCAGCCAGGAAAAAAGAAAACTCCAGTAATCTCCAATAAAATAATATTGTGAACATAGAGGACATCCAAATCAAAATTAGCTCTTAAATACAGACACCAAAGGGGCAAGGCTGACTGTCTGTAATATGGAAAGTGCCTGCATTATAGAGGTAGATATTTTTTGAGTTGTGGTTTCTCTTGACCAAGTCCAAGTGAATTGCCCGTCAGGAGAGGTTTGACAGCAGGCACCTGGGGATGAAAGGCACAGTGGGCATAGCCGTTTGGAAATGGTCTGGTAAGAGTCGGTTCCCAGGAGCTTTTTCACCCGTCCTTGTAAACTTTCGTGAAATCTTTCGTCGCGCCGTTATTTTCCTCGCGCTCCGATTAACTGCCCCTGGGTCTCCGAGGATGTTACCCCCCAACAAATAATATTAAAATAACAAAACAAAACAAAACAAAACAAAACAAAACAAAAAAGAAAACAAAAACAAAACAAAAAAGCAAAACAAAAACAAAAACAAGAAACAAAAAAACAAAAACAAAAGGGAAAAAAAAAACATTTACTCAAGTTAACTAAAAAACTATTCAAACAATACAACAAATGATCAGTTTTTGTTGAGGAACAGTTGGAGTGGCCGGGCTAGCTGTTGCCTTGCAAGAATGGCTTAAACTTCTTTGTTGCGTTATTATAGCCTCACTTTGTGATTTTACCTGATTGTTGTTTGTAGGAGAATAGTAAGCTGTTAAGATGGATGTAGAAAAATGTAAAATGGAGGGAGTATTAAGAAACAGAGTTAATTAAAATCCCCGCTACCCCTTTGATTAAATTCGAGAAGTTAAATTGTGTGTTTTTGTGGTTATGACACCATTGTAGTACATACAGGTAATTAATCACAATTTGAGTGCTACTTTATTAAATGAATAATTCTCTTTAGTCATATTCAAGAAGTAAAATATTTCTCTTTGCAGTTATAACGTCATGTTACGATGCTGGCAAAGGTCTCCCGATGACCGTCCATCCTTCGAGGACCTGCATGCGATACTCAATGGAATACTACAAGAGGAAGAGGTGAAGACGCTTTTCATTGATAAAGTAAAAAAAAAGAAAGAAAGAAAAAATGATTTTACCATTGTCTATACACTGGAAGCTTAAATGTTCTCGTAGAAGTACTCATGTTCGTCAACTATAGAAGATACTACAGGAAAACATCAGTTATTGTCTTATTTGTTACTTATAATGAGCTGTTTTTTGCTTCTTTTTCCAAGCCATTCCTTCTCCCTTTAGAATACAATGTGATAGGAACAGTTGTGAGAGAATCAGCGTTAATCAAATACAGCATTTTATTATCCAACTGCAGCGAATACCGTCCAAATAACAGTAAAAATATACAGCCATACTGTACAGTTATTTGTACAGTAGAAAACCTGTTTCCCGTACAGGTCGGCGCGTGCACGCAGAACTGTTACACTCTCCCTCTTTCATTAATAAATTTATTGACTACAGCAGTTGGATAATAAATCTCTTATTAGATGTTTCGGTGTGTAGTATCGCTTTATATTTTTACTCGTTTGTGGTTTGACTCGCCCTACGGGCTCGACAAATTACGGCACAACTCGTAAAAGTATACAGCGATAATACACACCAAAACATCTAATAAGATATATGCTATACCACATAACTGAAATGCGCTGTCCTATCAGATGAGGACGAATCATGTGACGCGCGCCTAAAACCTCTATAGCTCCTTCTAGCGAACGTGAAACCTTATTAACTCCCATGGATGACAACAACTTGAACGTCAGAATAGGAAATATGATTAGGCTGTACACCACAGAACAACATTAAAACAATAACAACAACAATAACAACAGCAACAACAACAACAACAACAACAGCAGCTTGAGTCTGACTGATTATAATCTTTTATTCACTTAAAGCTGTACCGAGCTTAACATGTGCGGTCATTTCTTTTCAGGAATTTACAAGTATTCTGATGCTCTCTTTTTAAAAGTTACCAAACGGTTTATGAATGAAGTGCTGCCGTTTTATGCGCTAACGTTAATGTTTTTTTTTACTTTTTTTTTTCATCCGTTTTTGTCTTAGATAGAGAACGTACATAAATGTGACTTTCTACGAGGGCCAGGAGACAAAAAATTACGAGGAAACCAAATTGTAACTGCCTCACTGGTCACTTCATCAGCGAGACCAGGAACTTGATTTCGGACTGTTCACTGCCTTGCGTTACTTTGCTATTATGATAAGGAAAGCTAAAAATAGGTATTCATTGTATAAACTAGAAAAACTACACTTTTATGAGCAAAATCTATTGGTATAATTTATACTCAAAGAAACTAAACTAAAATTACTTAATTAAAAAGATATATAGTTATTAAAAGGTATTATTTCTAAAGCTTGCTATTTTGACGCAGTTTTGAATGCATATATCACGTGGCTAAGTTTATTAAAAGCCTTTCTGTAATGTCTTAGTCTGTCACCTAGATATCATCTCATGATCAGATGTTTTTTAGTTTTAGCTGTGGTATAAGAAATGTTTCATGTTTCAATTATTTGTAACTATATAAATATATAACTGTTGTATCAAGATAGATAAAAATGACGCACTAAAAAAATTCCTAGCTCTTAATTAAATGTACAGCCTTTTTTCGTTTATATTATTATTGTAGATTTCCTAACGTCTAACGTCTGATAAAGCTTGTCTTAAGGGTGTACCTCGCGGAGCGTTGGCAATAGTGATATTCCTAAAGGCGAGAACTTACCTTTAGGATGCCGTCTTGATGCGGTGGTAAAGCTTGCGTGTCATATCGTAAGTAATTATCAATTTCACTGAAGAGATTGTCATCATAATCTCTTGTTGCACTTGTTTATGAAAATGTATATGAAAGGATTAATTTCATAGACTAGTAGACTAAGTTCGGCTCAATTTCGCGATTAAAGCTAATGTTAATTGCTTATTGTGGTGCCGTAATAATAATATTATCTCATCCTTTGTCTCGCAATGCAGCGGTACGTCCGCTGTTGTAATGTTCGAACCGTTGATACAGTATCGTCTGCATCGAAAAAACTGGGAGACGGTTCGTTGCAGGAAATGTTAAGGAATCACGATTGGGATATTCGATTCATCCTTAGTTAGTCGTACGGGCGACTATCCACCTTGGAAAGAGGTGAAGTTTTTTAACCCAAACCCTCACTGAGCCAGACGTAGGGTCATGGAAGCTACACCTGTATCCCCGTAAGACCTCACCTTGATAACATAACTTGGGATAGTGGAAATCATGCTTTGAAGCGTGGATGCCCACGGTCAAAAATCAATAAAAAAACATATAGCAACAGAAGAACGTGGTGACAAAACACGCTACCCTTAATGATGTCGAAAGGCAGAAAAAAAATAAGCAGTAGAAAATCAGTTTATAAACAATTAACTGGTCTTCATTTGTCTGTCTGTTTGATTTTGTCATTTCACACTAGAGGATAGCTTTGTATGTCATTCTTTACAAATGGTCCCATCCAGTTGTCATGGCCTGTTCATCAAAATATTCAACGTTGATGTAAGTCCTCTAAAATAAAAATAAACGACGTGAAAGCGATTAGAAACAGAACTCCTCCACAGACTATAGTACCAACAAAATAGCAACCGCCCGCATAAAAAAGCGCTCAAAGTAACTTACCGTTTGGGTGTGCAAAATGTTGTGAAGAATGGCACGGAGTTCTTTGAATGTTGGTCGTTCCTCTGGGCAATTCTGCCAGCATAGCAGCATGACGTTATACCTAGTGAAAATATCGTACAAGAAAAAGAAATAGAATGTTCATTACAAATCAATGCCCTTCATAAGCTAAATGCTGCACTGAAATCATGCACATAAGGATTGTTCAGTTCACTCAGCTCTTTTGAGGAACCCAACATTGACATAGATTTTGTGTTTATTGATTTATTTATTGATTTATTACCCACGCAGGGAGGTCTAAGTTTAAATTTCGGCTCCGTTTTTTTTTTTCCTTTTCCACGTTGTCATAAATCGCCGTCTGGTCTCTAAAGCGCACGCGTCACCCCTGCATGCGTACAGTGTCGAGATTCGAGTTATGCACCTGTAATCGTATCACTTTAGACTTGGTTTAAGCGAATGTTGTAAGACTAGTCAGGCGTCACCAGCCCACGCACGGTTGGGAATGGGAACTGTTTTCAAAATATTGTGGGATGTGTCGTGTTGAGAAGAGCACATGGCGAGTGAGATCGATCGAGTTCTGTCATCTGTATCAGTGAGTTTAGCGGATTAAAACCCGTTGTTTGTTTTTTGGACTGAAATCAAGTTGTGAGTATATTGTCAGAAGAAACATTTCCGACAAAGTGGCGACCCTGCCAGGACCTGAATGATGCCAACAACCGTAGAAGAAGGGGAGAAAACNGACGTAAATTACATTTCTTAGAGCATATTCAAGAAAGTAGCTTAATTAATACAAGTGAAAAAGAGTAAATGCTAAAAGTAATAGCCCGTACAAGAGCCAATGTTGCACAGAATACTGATTAGCAAAATAGTAGCAGTAAAGTAGATAAGTGGGCCGCATTTGAAGATAGTCGCTTGCCCATTCCCTTTCCCGTGCTATTTTCGTTTTGGCAATTACAACAATTCGCTTATATATTTAATCACCAGCAAGTTGTTTGCTTTAAATATAATGCAATGTTAATATTTTTCAATGAATATCTACAAATAGCTTTCAAATATTACAACTGTAGCTTACAGATCACCAGAGCAATGAGGTGGTTTCTCCAGTCTTATTCCATCTTTCAGCTTGCCGTAAAGTTCAACAACCCCCTTGATTCCTTTGTATGGAAGTTGACCTATAAAAAACCCTTGGCATATTATTATTATTTGCTTTTCTTTAACCATATTTCACTGCTAAAAAAAAAAAAAAAGAAAAGAAAAAATAGAACTGGGTGAGAGCTGTGTCGTAGTTATATGCTGAGTAGATTGGTAAACACCGCTGTACTTTTTTTTTTCAAAATCGACTGATTTGCCGCATTCATGTTAGATCGACACGGAAAACCGTCTTCGACGGGAAACTCGTCTTTAGACGGAAAACTTGTCTAATGTGAACACAGTAAAAAAGGACGAGTCTCCTGTCTCAAATTTATCTGTCTACTTTTCTGTCCAAATCGACGCAAGAATCGGAGAACTCTCTTAAATTCATACTGGACGCGAAAATCCCGAAGAGTTTCAGTCGCGATTATAACACGTTTACTTTAATTTAAATTCATTAAATTTATTCTGTCAAACGTACGTGGTTCCGTGTTTGACTAGTTCCCGTCATTAAATGTGAATTAGACAATTGTACAATTGTAAGGTTAGCTTAATTTTATTTTTTTAAAGGTGTGACTATCTCTCACTGAGCACTGTCTCATAATCAAATTGCAATCAACAATTTCTATATGGGTATAACACTGCAGTGCCTTAAATCTCCCACATCAAACATGTATTAATTACTTATCATTGGAAACATTGTCGTAAGGTCGAACTTACCAAGAGTTACTATTTCCCAAAGTACCACGCCAAAAGACCATCTGCAATTGTAAAATGAAACTTTACTTCACTCAGACATTTGGAATCTTTCAGTAGAGGAGAAAATTCAGGATGAACATAAATGTGTATTAGTAGAATTCTACTAGTATAATAATGAAAATGCTGCAATCTGATTGGCCTATCAGCCATTAGAATGCAGTAGCTGTCGGTCGTCCACGAAATGCGACGTTTCTATCGTTTTTCCGAAGTTTTGGGAAAAAAAGTTTAGATGTAAATGGATAATTCTATTCCTGAGAAGACAAAAATAAGGACATAAACGGGTTCTTGACTTTAAAAACTTGAAATTATTGAAAAACCAGTGGGCGCGCGTAAACAACTGCAAATTTACCAAGGGCAGTTCAGTACGTGCGATTCTGTTAAAGCGTAAAGTTCATAATGTGTCGAATAATATTTGGAAACCACTATTTGCGTTAATTTAAGTTAGAATTCTACTAAAACAACTCGATTACTCGCTCTCGATTTCTATGAGGCGATAGGCTATAACTATCACCTCATAGAAATCTCGAGCTCATAATCTAATTGTTAAATATTGCCAGCCTTATGAAGAAACAAATTCTTGCATTAGTTTTCTTCATTTCAAATTCAAAAAACTAGTTTTGATGGGTTTGCATTAACCCGATGAACGAAGAAAACAAAAGAAAGAGCTGTACATTTGGTGTTATATCACATAAAAGTACTACTCCAGAGACCATAACTCTCAAGTTGAAGCAAGGTGAGCGATTAAAAAGGTGATGTTTTTTTTTTTCGAGCTGTTAAGGGGAATATGACTTTCGTTCAGCTGTCAATTTGATATACGTTTACACGACACTAAATAGCTGAAGCCAAATCAACCCTTTCAAACCTCGATTCCACGTCTTCCCAGCATTTCATCAGGCATCAGCGCTTAAAACACTGTTTGAAATAAATCTGTGCCTCATTTGTAATGTTTCAGAGACAATTTCACTTTTATCTAAATATTGCCTAGGATACGGGCAGGTTCACTTTGAGACACACGCACGAGCGGCGACGAGTAAAGTAACTAGCGAGCTGATCCTGGTTCGCCACTCGCGCGTTTGCTCGCAGGCTAAATATTACTCACACGTCAGACATTGTAGTGAAGCGACCACGCAGAGCTTCAGTTGGCATCCAGAGCCACGGAATTCGTCCCTTGTTAAGAAAAAACAGTTATTGTCATCAACTCCTCTACTAATTTTAGTTCTTGTATACACTTTTACCATAGTAAAAATACAAATTATATTTCTTTATCCTTCATTGACATGAAACCCATATTTACTTTAAAATTGTAGATCATTACACTGTAGACAATTGCCGATGTTTGATTTCCGTTATAATTGGTTGATTGTTAGGAATGAATAAATAGGAAACAATGTCGCCAAATAGGCTTGACCCCATGCACTCCCGCCGTTCTCCACAATTTTCCTGTTTTGTCGGGAACTTTCACCCAGCTATTTTTTTCATTTATTTACTTTTTATTACTTTGGTAATTTTTTGTATTAAACCAGTAGTAATGACCTACACAGTGTAGCGATGGGCTCTCAAATTGTAACCAAGATCACCTTACGGGGGGGATCGGACAAAACACCTCAGGCATAAAACATTTCTTTTTCTTTCGAGTAAGTACCTCAGTGGTTTTAATGTACTCGCCATCTTTTGAGACATCTCGTGCCATACCAAAGTCTGCTACTTTTGCAATTAGTTTCTTACCCAGAAGCACATTGCGAGCAGCCAGGTCACGATGGACACACTAAAAAGACGTAAGAAAACATCTTTAATAATTGAACTTTTAAGGTAATTCCCCTGAAATAAAACAGTCAATAGATTTTTGCTCAAACTTTGTCCACTGAATATTTGTTACATAAGAACTTTGATCATAAAATAAATAAGGGGGGGGGGGGGGGGGG